ATTCCAAATTTACCCATAAAAGGAAGTGATTACGTAACGGTCTTTATCATTCTATTTGACAAGAACACTTTTTGAAATCATACAAACACAAAATATAAACAGCAGAATGTCTTTCTATTCATGATAACCCCTCAAAACGCACTCGGACCACCATTCCCAAACTCCATTCCAAAGCCATGGTATCCTTTGAGACTCTCATACTGATATCCCAACTGTTGCTGCGATGGCTGGGATTCCGGGATTTTAACACCACCATTCCATACGACACCAGAATTCCACTGCTGCCCATTTTCATCCATTTTCATCTTTTTGTCCGCGGTTCCTTCAGCTGCAGTTCTCGCAGAGGCAGTTTCGTATCGCTGGCGTTTGCGAATTATGTCTGATTTTAACGATAGGGGACGTTGCTCCTGGTGCAGCTTGAGACTACAAGTATTCAGAATGTTAGTCAATTGGTCGTTACAGCATATCAGAATCCCTGCACAATGACACTCACTAGAGACCGCAGGCATTACATAAGGTATGCCCCTCGTCATCTCTTCTCCAAAGCGGTGTTTTGGTTGTTTGACAATTGTGGCAACAAGCTTCCTGAACTTGACCAGCGGCATCCTTTCGCTGATCACGAGGGCGCATTGACTTTGGTCGATGAGAATTGTGCAATTTAAAGTACAATCCGCAAGCATTGCACAACAGTTCGTCATTGACGGATCGGCGCCACAATGGTGTTGATGTTGCTGCACAGTTTTGGCACTTTCCATCCCCAGATGCAGCAGTTGCTCCGCCAGCTTTTGGTCGTGGTGCGGATGGAGTGGGAACGGCAGATTGGCGAGAACTTGATCGCCGAGGCGCTGGTTTCTTTCCAGTCGGCTGCGGGAGTTGTGGAACAGACAATGGTGCAGATGAGGGGGCGACCGCTTGAGATACAGGTTGTTGAATTGGGACTTTTGATGCGGAAATCATATCTGACTGTGAACCGTTTTTCAAGACAGAGTACGACTCAGAATTAAGACTATATCCATAGGACGACCAATCGGTTTGAGTGAGCCCCGTGGTAGCTGGTGCGTAATTGTAGCCAGTTGAAATTGGCTGCTGATAGCCGTGGGAGTGCATCGGTGCAGAGGGTGGCAGCGATGTTTGATTCGATGTTGAAGGGACAGACCATTGCGCTCGTCCAAAAGATGGATTACGGGAGGAAGAACTGGAGACATGGTAAGGGGAAGAGGTGGGAGCAGCTGTGCACATGTCGGATTTAGAGTTCGATGAAACGCCAGTTACAGGATAGGTGTACTTTGAAGCTTGCCGCGGTTCTCCAACTCTCACATCTAATGGCATGGATGAGTTGGCAGAAAGGTTTGTGCGCGTGGACCCAAGAGAGTCAGGTACGGAAGTGGTGGAACTGCAGTTTGCCATCCGTTGTTGGTTCGGAGGTGCACTAGCACCTGGCCCCGTCTGCATCACCCATGACAAGGCGCTGTCCCCGAATGAGTCATCCTGAATGTGCGGAATAATAGTTGCATCCATGGTCTTCCCGGTTTGTGATGGCAGCGCACCAGAGGAACTCAGAGACGATTGCAGGTCTTCGATGTTCGCCAATCCGATATCTGCGTCTGCACCTGAGTTTCCAATACCAGTTTCCACATTCCACATATCTAGCAGACCATTTCCAAAGTCCATCGCAATTCCAAGATCCATCCAATCATTCGACATGTCCGTCTGGTCTAGAAAATCGGTGACACCGGAGGGTGTTTGAAGAATAGAAAGTGCGGTCTGCTGTGCTTGACTTTCCGCAAAGACCAGCTTTTGTTCCACCTGTTTTGGCTGCGCATTCAGGTCCTTTCTCGCGAGTGGTACAGGAGCGTTTCGCGGCGACACTTGAGAATCCTTTTCGCTAAACCGCTTTGTCGTCTTGCACGAAATCTTTTTAAACTGCATTTGATTCATCTTTTTGGTTTCTACCATGACTTGATGCAGATGCCACAACCTCCAAGAGAGATTCTCTAAACGAGAACCATTCTCCAAAGTGTCCTTCACCTGCATCACAAAGTTCGGTGAATACACTCCTCAAGTCATGTGTTATTCATAATGCAACCCACCTTTGTGCATGTTTTCCAGGTGGTTGCAAAATCATCTCCATTGTCTAAATTGGCGAAGGGAGCAAACTCGCTTTCGTGGTCCTGCCCCTTCACTTTCAGAAGGATGGCCGGCATACTGTAAGCGTCGTCTACAGTGTGTCAATCGAGGGAGTAGTCGATGCGAGATTGCAAGGCGAAGACGACGGTTGGAAAAAGGAAAAGGATGAAAGCCGCCTCGCCAAAAGCTTTCAGAGGAAATCCCGTTCAAGAGTTACGCAAAAACACGCAATAGAAAATGGCGGAGAGAGTTCAGTGAGAAAAGCCCAGCGGGAATATTGGAAATCACCCAATGAAAATGCATTTTGCCGATTTCGCTGGCACGTTTTTGCCGCAGTTCACGTGAGGGGATTGGATAAGGCGTGACATAATCATTGTTTATACTTGAACAAGTCGGAATTGGGAGACAATTGTCGGATTGCACCCAAATTCACAAGATGAGATCAAGGCAGTGAAAATAAATAGCTTTGCTTATTGAACGGAGGAAGTACCCAGTTGTTTTCGATCATGAAATGCATTTGGTGAATGGGTGATTGCTACTCCATCAGACCTGTTTCCTGACATGTCTCTTGGCCAGTATCGGAAGTACAATATCTCGCAAGATCGGTGGCCTTTTGTCCTCATCCTACAGCACATGGACCGTAACGACGCAGTTGTCGTGGGATTTCTCATACCCCCGGTTCAATGTAGCTTCAATAGTGTAGCAGGCAGGTTAGTGAGAACGAAATGTCTTGAAAAATTTAGAATCGAGCCTGGTGTATTTGGTACATTATATTGACATTGTCAAGTATCAGACTATGACCTCGGATATGAACTCGAATAACAGTCATCTTCGCCCCCGGCAAAATGTGTGAGAGACAACAATAGACTCGCAAAACGTAAAGCACGGCAACGATTCCAAAAACGCAGGGCGTTGAATCTCTGTCTCGCCATCACTACAGCCGAGCTGGTATATTTATTTCAATGGGCACAACATCCACTACGCAGCCCTTTCAGCAATTCCCAAAAAAATAAATCTTGAATCCGGTAAGAAAAAAAGAATATCAATCAACCCGATCAACGACAAACTCCATCAAAAGTCTCCATCCAATCGGCATCACGATCGGCATAAGGTAAATGTGCCCAGAGTAGTTTATGCGTGCCTTTTATTCCAGTTGAACCAAAAATGAGCGATTCTTACTTTTCAAAATAACAAGGTGTGATCGTGCTTGGAACTCACCAGACTCATCAAATCTCTCGCTCCCAGCTACAGCACTCTCATGAAACATCCAAAAATGCCCATTGTGGCATGCGGACATGCACTTGGTGCAAGGAGTTGTGACGTGATAGCCAATTACGTTCCCACTTTTATAAAAGGAATGCATGAGCTTTCTGTTTTGGGGTACGTTTGGTTATCATTAACCACTCACCATCCCAAACATGCTACATCACGAATTCGGCATTGGCAGTTTCGAGTGAGATAATCTTGGGCAACGAGCTGGACGCGCCTAATGGTGTGAGATGTGTAAGCAAAGAAAGGAGACTGGCGCAAAATACATGGGAGCAAAACAGAAACTCACCCTGAAGGAATTGTATCCGTTGAAAACAACTCAATCTATAAAGAAGAGTCAGTACATTGTATGCCACTTGGCCAGAGATGACCACATCAACTAACCCTTGTATCAGCCAGCAGAATGGCCTTCATTCCTCTTTTGCAAAGAACTTGTTCACAGAATTTACATGATAGCAGACACACTGCTTTGGCCTTGAAGCTTGGGTGCGTGGACAATGTGGGTTGTGTTGACGAGGTAGGAGGTGATTCAACCGACGGCGGTGATGCGGATCGAGTGGAACTTGGGGAATGGGACACTGCCCAATTCGACGACGACCGAGCGTGATTTGACCATGGCATTTGAAACTGGTATGGTATGGGATGTTGTTGGAAGACGGAATGGTTTGGTGGGTGGGAGTATCTCTCTCTTCTTTCTCGATTCCATTGTGATGGAATCCCGACTGGACCAACGACCATCCAGTTGTCGTTCCATTCTTGTACGGGAAATGGCATTTCCATCCATCGCATGTGAAGATGAGCTGCCCTAGTGGGTGCCGGGATGTAGCTGTGTTGCTGGGAGGGTACGGTTGTTCCTGATTCTGACATGGCTGTAAGGAGGATGATGGGTTTGTCGAAATTTGCCAGTCGAGGCTTCAGAAGGAACAGTCGGAAGAAGAAAAAGTTGTGAATGTCATAATAATCGCTGACATCCGGAGAATTCCCAACATATTCAAATACAACGATCTTACCAAAGTGTACTAAAAAAGCTCAAACATCAAACTATCCCCCATTCGACCCCGCGGGATGGGAGAAACCCGCTCTATTGAGGTAAAAACCCCGGACTGACAAAGCAACATTCTGCAGAAAACTTCCGAAATTGAACAAAGCGATCCATTCGGTGCGATAGTACTCAGAACCTGACGATGTCAAAAGGATCCCCAAAACAAGAAAATATCCGGGCCCCATCAAAACATTCCCAAGGGGCACCTGAGATTCGATCTAAATCTCCGAAGATTCCTTGCATTTTGCTATCCTCCACAACCGCAGGCTGATTATACCTGGCGAGGGCATTTGCCATCAGTTACAGGGCATATATGACTGCAGCATCTTGATTGCGATCAGTAGCCAGCTAGTAATGGCCCTGAATCCTTGTCGGAGCTGTGTTGTCTCTTCCAATTAATTGAGCATAATGTTCACCAGTCATGAGCACGAGACAACTACCGCGGATAGAAATCCTATAGCTTATCGGAGAATTTAATAGTGTATTGGCAAAAACAAATGTCAGTGCCTCGCACACCAGGGAATAAACCGGCGACAACCAGTTCGGAAAAGCTAAGCTACTACTAGGCAATTATACACGCAATACGTAACGGTTGTTCTAACCGGATAACTGCCCACCACCACACGCGGTCCCTACTAGGCCTTGATCTGGAACTCTTGATGGCATTGAAGCCAGACTCTTGCATCCAGGAGCGAATCGACTGGGCAGCGTCACAAGCCAGAGGATGTTCAGTGACAAGGCTTGGAGACTACAAAAAATGCATGTCAGAAGATCACCCGATGACAAGAAATAAAATGATGCAATCAGTACATACCAACCAAGCTCAACTAATGTGGTAGCATAACAGCAGCTTTGTTGGTTCCGAGTGGTTGCTGCTGGTTCCAGTTGGTTGTAGTCATCGGGAGGGCGAGGTCCTCGGCACCAGAGCAGTACTCTCATGATGGACTTGAGAGAGTGCTTGAGCGTCGGGCAGATGCTTCAAGAGTCGAGGGATAAAGAAACAAGATGGGGGGAAGGGGACGAGGGGGGGTTTATATAGGAAAAAGATTGAGTCATGGAGTGTCATAGATGTGGCAACTGCAGAATATTCCTCTCATAGATGGCTGTCAGATGGCCGCAAGGGATAGTAATTGCAATCTGTTCATTATCGCAGGTATTGGACCCGTTTTTCATACTGGCCACACATATCGGACCCGTTTTCTCATGATGGAGCATCTTTTGTGCATCGAACCATAGTTCATTTGCTTAGATCAAGGCATCTTGCATTTGATTCGATCCAGTGGCTGCATCTATCTGCAGACTGACAGTCTTTCTTGCCCAATTTAATATGTCAGATGGGCCCGAGAAGGTCCCGAGTCAAGTGGAACGTCCGTCTGTTTAAAAGTAGTGACATGCTTGATATGAACGATTGTCATTCAGGGTACTAAGTAATAAAAAATAAAATACTCTACACATAATTATCCGCCGACAGTCTCGCGTCTAGTAAATACTATAATCTGATTCCTCCCCATCCCAAAACCTTTTATCTACCGCCTCAATCTCCTCTTTAAGTGCCTCATCAACCTCCCTTCTCCGATCGTCCATCCACTGACGAATACCTTTTTCCCATAACGAATTAATCTTTCTCACAAAAAAGAATTCTCGAGGTCGCTTGCTCGGATCAGCCAATTGTGTCGAGTTGAGAGGTAAACTGACTTCCACTTTTCCGCCTGGTTCCAATTTTCCTTCGTCTCCGTTCTTTAGCCAAATGGGATGCATTGCCCCCTTTTCGAAATATATAAACCGTTTGCAATCGTTGATGACTTTATCACTCCAACCCCCTTCTGTGCTGCTTTTCGCCAAAGCGACCATCCCAAAGTAGCTTTCGTCTGGAATCCAGCTGTGCTCTGACCAAGCGAGAAGGTCATGAGCATCTGGGCTGCTGCGGAGGTATTGAACAAAAGCTCGTGGGAGAATCATCCATTGATGGTGCTTGATTGCTCGGAAGCGGTGATCCAATGGGAACCGGCGTTCGGGCGCCGTGGAAGGAGTTCGGACGGATGTACGAGATCGGGTAAGGAAGAAAGGCCGCTCAAGGCGCCATTCGATTTCAGAGTCGTACCAGTGTTCAATGTACGCTTTACCGGGATCTCGCTGGGAACACGGCAACAGTAGGTGAGCTGCTTTTGGTACATTGCCGACACATGACGAGTGCTCACCTCCAATATAGCATGAATAGCCTTCGAACTCCTAACAGGATAGTCATATCCACTCAAATTGATGACATAATCCCAGTCGGCCAGATCCATCAGGGTGAAAAACCCCTGCAGTTGTCCAAAGACGATACTGCTTGCACCCCAGTTCATGTTGAATGAATTCTCCATGACGAATATATTGTCACTATCGGCATAAACCTTGTGCGAACTCAACCACTTGTGAACCTCTGCACGGAAATCGGACCGCTTAGCATCGACATGGATGAGGAAAACGCCATCTTGATCGTAGAGAGCATCAAAGAGCGTGGAAAAGACGTCTAAGCGTTCGTGAACGAGAAGCAGATACGCAATCTTATAACGACGTCGGTTCGGAAGAGGCGTAGTTGGCGCAGAATGGCGTTGTTTGGGTGGTGGGTCCGAGCGATTTTTGATGAATTTTAGTGCACTGGATGAGGTGTTTGTTGGTGCATTGTTGGACCCTTCCTTGTCATCGGCATTACTGTCCTTCTTATCTTTGTGGTCGCCTTGCAGAACTGCATTGTCCTGCTCTCCGGTAGGTTCGACAGCTCGTCGATTATGTCGCCCACCCAGTTGCTTTTGTCCTCTAACAGGGGAATTTCCAGGCCCCTCTAACGTCAGCTCCGGAAAATATGCTGTCCCGTTCACATGCAGCAACCACATTCCATCGGTGGCAAGCGCATATTCATTTTTGCCATGAGCTGCCATGTAGCACGCAAAGCGACGCACATTGGTCGGATCAAAGGATTCATGCTCTGCCCATGACATGACATTATCATACACTTTTCGTGCAAGTGCATCAATCATACTCGCTGCCAAGGATCTTGAAGGATTCGCTGTTATGAGGTTGCCACCAAGTGGAGCTAAAAGTATCGTGAGCATAAATTAAACGGGTTTAAACAGACCCACACATCTTGATTGCAACAACACTAACCGATATGAATCCAAGCATTAAAGTCTGCTCCTTCCAGCGTCGTACACCATTTGAAACCCGCAAGCCTCACTTCTTTGGTGCCGTGCATTTTTAAAGCGAGATCCGGATTGAAAATCCGGGAAGAAGGATCCGAACTCTCTTGAATCGTGAATATTCGATCCAATTCTGCCTTTACTGTTTTGTCTGCTTGCTGTTTATTTGCATTTACTCTTTCCAGTTCGGACGCTAGCTTCTTTTCATACTCTTTTTCTATTGTCTGTCGCTCAACACCAATGCGTTGCGCAAGTTCAGCTTCTAGTAGTTGCTTTTGCTCATTATTTCGTCGTTCGCGATCAGCTTTAACAGCCTTTTCAATCTCCTCTTGAAGATTTCGCTTTAATGCATCATATTGCTCTAGCAAGTATGTAATTGTTTCATTGGAATTCTTTCCTGGGAATAGGCCTGCCAGCAGACCATCAGGTCGGGACATGGGTCGCCGTGAAGGATCAGAGTCGGGAGGTGGGACAACTGGGTTGGATGTGTCGGTGGAGCCCGTTATGGGATCTGGTAGTTTAGCAGCCGGTAGACGAGAGCTCCCCCTTCCTGGAACGAGTCGGGGCTCCTCTGAGTGACCTGCCTCGACGTTATGATAAGATGAGCGCTCGTCTGGACGCTCCTGTATGGGGACTTGCCCCTTTGGGTGCTCCTCCAAGCGACCTCCCTTGGCATCATGATATAATGAGTGATCTTCTGCATCGTTTTGGTGCTGTACTGCGGGGGGTCTCGCCAAAGGTGACGTTGTGGCGCGTATCACATCCCGATAGCCTCGTCCGGTAGGTCCACTCAGAAGAACTGTGTATGCTACAAAGCACATGAGGGCAATGCATATGACGCCGCGTAGACAGCCTGGTCTTCGTAATCGTTTTAGGATGGACGAGGGTGTCGCAGCCGGAGGCCCGCCTCCTCCGCTACCTTTCCCCATATGGCGAAAACTTCTACGTCCGCCCTGTATAATACTAGTTGGTGGTCGTTTGTCGTTCTTGTCACTGTTGCTGACGGCCGTTGCGAAACTGGTCAATGCCGCAAAAGGCGAGCTACGATCTAACGTACTCTTTTCCAAGCCGAGCATGGCAATAACGCAAGACTTTCAAAGTCCGATCTATCTATCCGCGACAGCTCTTCAAGGGTGTAACGCCTAAGACCTGCCGACATATAACAACATGAAAGGGATCGTCTAGTCGAGCGATAGCGAAATCAAGACTGCATATGATCGAATCCAAAAAACGAAAAAAAAGGGAAGAAAATCGTTGCGCAGCCCTTTGCAGAAGGTTGCAAATCGATACCCAACAAAATCCCAAAAGGTGTTCAATTTTTGGAATAAAGCGTCCGCGTTTTGCGGGGGGGTTCCGAACCACAGAAATCACTTGCGCAGTAAATTAACGTTTTTTTTTGTTTTTCTAAAAGGCTTGAAACCCAAAAAAAAACAAGAACGACGACCACGGCACACGATGAATGAGCTTCTGTAGCTTCTTTTTAATGTGTGTTGTTCTTTATGCGGAACCCATACACACACACATTGGACTACAAAAGGAGAGATGCTGGTTCCATTCAATTCATAAAGAGAGCCCCCCTTATTATAGCTTGACATGCGCCAAACAACCGTTGCTGATTTCAGTCCCATCACAAAACCCACGTCTCTTGGCAGATCGGGTACTCGCAAGTAAGTTTAAGGGGGCGCCAAGAGAAAAATGGATTGGGGACGAATGCAATGTCGCTTAAAACTCCAAATATCACCAATGCTTAAACTGTTGGACAAACCTATTCAGCAGGAATAACTGTTCCTGCGCATGTTGTTCAGCTTGAATGCTCAACTCTGTGCTCGCTTTTGGCAGAGTGTGCATTATCCGTCGTAAATGTCTTCTACTCCCTTTTTTAAAAGTTTGGTTTCAGTTCATGGTTGGTGACTACTAGGTCTAACAGGGCTCTACATGGGAGACGACCCGAATGCCAGGGCGTCGTCACATCAACCTTGGTACATCCGTTATGCATCCTCCCATTTTTTTTTTTTTTTTGAGGTCTTGTTCAATGGTGGGCGGCCAGAGCACACGCACTCTCTATCTGAAGGAGAGCTAAAGCTAAACCGATACAAAAGAAAGCTGTGAGGGGTTATGGTCCTGGCGTCGTCTGGACAGCGACGCGGAAAGTTTAACAGGACCAGACTTTAGCTTTATTTTCAACTTCCTTTCAAATGTGCCGTTGTGTATAGCTCTTGACCGATTTGTGTATAAAGAATCGCTCTGCAAACTTTTGTCACAGTCCTTTTAAAATATCTTGATCCGTCGTTCCCAGCATAATGAGGATCGGAGAATTTACCAGTTTGTCTGGCCCGGAGCGACGTCTACAAAAAATGGGCGGGAAGCTAGCATCTGGAAAATGGCCTCTCGCTCGATAATTCCTCTGGCTTGCCAAAAACCTCCTTGTTGGTAAATAGGTTGGGGAGGTTTTCTTGCTGAGTAGACGACCAGGCAGGATTAAAGGTAAAATCCGGATCTGATCAGCATCAACGGGGCCTTTGTTATCTGTTTGGAAATGGGTGTATGATAGAATCTAATGCATGCTGTGCTATTGCAACTAGATCTGCACCTTCTTATTCCCTTTCACTTCACTATCACATTGTCGAAAAACTCTCCAACAGCATGCTCTCTAACATTCCTCGACCTGCCGGTGCCGCTCCTTTGGCTGCAGCCCCACCGGTACCGCCCAGAAGAGCTCATCCACTTCCAGCTCCTCCAGCTACCGAAAGTCAAGTACAGCAGCCTCGAACTCGCATTCCTGTTCCGATTCATCACATCCCGACCTCCCAAGATCGCTTAACGGATGCCATGGCCAGTATGACATTTAGCGACAAGACGCAGAGTTTACCAAGGATGGATAAAAAGGGAAAAGCGCCAGTTGGAATGGTCGTTAAGCCTGCCCCTCCCCCGAAGCCCACTCGACCTGCCAGGCCGGCCCGACATGCATCTCCTGCTGCTGAAGAACAAGAGGTGACTTGCAAAAGTCACAAAGGAAATCCGAGCATGGTAACTTTGCGAGATCAGCGGCCTCAGACCGTCCATGCCGTTGGATCCTCCCGAAGAGAAGCCGATGAGCCCTTCACCCCAAGTGCGGGAACCCGGAGACGATGTGAAATGACCAATGTTTGTGAGTACTGGCTTCATTCTGCGACGGTCATTGACGAGCAGCGGACTCAATGCCGACTTGATCCCACGTATAGATTTCCTTGACTACTATTTTGATCTCTTGTCCTACTTGGACCAACGGAAGCAGCGCTTACAAAGGTTCAAAGAAGACATGCGAGAACGCAGGGTAAGGATTCATTTTAAAGAACGCCACTCATCTTTACCCCATTTTTTTTACACCTCATGCAATCGATCTTAGTGCACAGAAGAGCAGTATAATACGGAATGGAATTACCTCTGTGGAAAAGAGCGCGCTCACCTACGAAAGCGTCGGACAAGGACTCGGTTGGCGAACTTTAGTATTATCACGCAGGTTGGGCAGGGTGGATATGGACAGGTAAACTTACCTCTCAGAAATTCATTTTTTAAAAAGCAGCCGTCAACTGAACATGTATACATTATTCAAGGTTTTCCTCGCCAAAAAGAACGACACAAAAGAACTATGTGCGCTGAAGAAAATGAGCAAAAAGCTGCTTCACAAGCTTGGAGAGGTACCAGCTGCTATTGTTTTACGTTCACACCAACAAAGATCCACCACACTCACCTCTTTTGTTCGTCCCCAAGATTCAACACATTCTTACGGAACGGGATATACTTACCCGCACCAACAGCCCTTGGCTCGTTAAACTACTTTACGCATTCCAAGATTACGAACATGTTTATCTGGCAATGGTACGAATTACAACCTGATAAATTATATTGGGGATCTCGGGCCTGAAATATTTCGATGCAAAACAGGAATATGTTCCAGGAGGAGACATGCGCACTCTGCTCAATAATAGTGGGGTATTGAAAGAAGAGCATGCCCGATTCTATGTTGCAGAGATGTTTGTTGCTGTAGGAGAGTTGCATCGATTGGGATACATTCATAGGTAAGTTCTTGTCATCATTACAAATGAGTGATGGATTTCGTATGTAATTCATTGCCTTGACAGAGATTTGAAACCAGAAAACTTTCTCATTGATGCTAGTGGCCATTTGAAGCTCACAGATTTTGGATTGAGTCGGGGTGCGCTGAGTCCCGCTGTTGTGGAATCTTTGAGGGTCAAGGTGAGAATGCAGACTACCGACTGTGATTAGCCCTCATGTCCGATGGAGTTTTTTCTTATATTACTTTCATAAATCAGCTCGATAAGGTCAAGGACATGCCGCTCACGCATCTTTCAACTGCTGAGCGTCGTAGCATTCACAAATCCATCCGAAGGGAGGATATGCAGGTAACGTTTTTTGCTTCTACTAAACTCACATTGCCCATCATTGATTGCAATATTCTCTTCTTCCTTTACGATAATAGGCCTATTCCCTCGTTGGCTCCCCAGACTATATGGCACCTGAAGTTCTCATGAACAATAAGGCCGGATATGGACTAGCAGTTGACTACTGGAGCATAGGTTGCATCCTTTTTGAATGTCTCGTTGGTATGTAACTTCTTTTCCCAGTAGCCCAGTCACATTCAACTCTAATTTTTCTGTGTAAAAGGTTATCCACCCTTCACAGCTCCCACAACCGACGATGTTTGGGTGAATGTCTATCACTGGGAAAAAGTTCTTGAAAGACCACACTACACCGGCGCTGACGAGGAGTTCAATTTAACAGACACAGCATGGTCACTCGTCAAATCACTCATCACACACACACAAAATCGATTGGCATCTCTATCACAAGTTACATCTCATCCTTTCTTTGCGTCCACAAACTTTGGAATCCTTCGTGCGGATGATCCAGCACATCCCCCTCCTTTCATACCTACGTTAAAAGCAGAAACGGATACCACCTATTTTGATGATTTCGAGGATCCCAAGGATATGGCCATGTACAAGGAGGTGCAGGACCGGATGAAGGATATGGAAAAGAAGGGTGCCCCGAAAGGTGATGTAGGGATGTTGAGGAGAGAGTTTGTTGGGTTCACATTCAAGCACAAGGAGGCGGTTGGATGGGATGGTGGTGAAGCGACGAATGAGGGGTACACTGGTGAGTTTCCTACGACATGGTGCTTGACATTGTTTCGCGGTTTTCCAACTCTTTTTTTGCTGGCATTTGTCTAGGCACTACAATGTTTTAGAGACCTCATCTCGATACTCATCGGTCCTTGCCCTCGTTGGCCACTTTCAACTTGTATTCATTTAGGAAATCTATAACTATGACAGCAACGGTCGATATCTATATAACGACCAAAAAAAATCTTAATTATGTTGCGAGAAGACAGCATGGAGTAGTGCTACCCCACACGTATAGCCTACTTGTGTACTACATAGAAACTAATGTGGAAAGGGGGAGATAATTACAGTGTCCTTCCCTGAAAATCATCCAAATCATCCCCTTACATTAAAAAAATCCCACAGCAAAAAATGTCTAATTACACCCAAGTCATTGTATATCAGCTCCCCTTCGCTCCATCTCCTTTTTCAAAGCAGTTTGCTTTAAAACCTCGCGGGCGTCGTCACCCATCTCAGCCACCATGCGAGCAAACCATGCGCCCGAGTCGGCGACATCTTTTTCCAATAAAGCGTATGGAGTTCCGAATTCGACGAGTTGTCCGTCGTCCAGAACCATGATAAGGTCATAATCAATAACTGTATTCAACTGATTACAGAAATGGGACAAGTTAGATCATAGATAATGATACGAAAGTGTGATGCAACATACCCTATGTGCTATAGTAAGGACAGTAGCATCTTTGAACATTCCTCCTTCCTTATCCCTGATGGCGCGTTGGATCAGTGCATCTGTGTGGAGATCAACGGCAGAAGTTGCTTCGTCCATGACAATGAGCTTTGTATTTCGGAGAATAGCCCGAGCAAGGCAGATGAGCTGTCGTTCGCCGACGGACCAGTTGCCTATTTTATTTTTAATCGCGGTCAGCATTGAAGACATCACAGATGAACTTTCGGTAATTAAAGTACTTACTTCCGTTCTCTGCAACTTCACTCTCCAACCGCCCAGCTAGTCCTTCCACAATCCTCTTTTTCAGCTCAACAGCGTCCAACACCCGCCAAATCTCTGCATCATCGTATTTTCCAAAAGGATCTATATTGAATCGGAGAGTGCCCTTGAAACAAAATGGTTCTTGTGGAATGATTGAAATACGGGAACGCAATTCGCTCAAGCGTATTTCGTCAGTTTTGATATTATCAACTTGAATGCATCCGTGAGGGTACGGCGAAACAATGCGGAAGAGGGCTTGGAGGAACGAGGATTTTCCCGCTCCGGTTCGGCCCACGATTCCGACTTTGGTGCCGGGAGGTATGCGGACGGTAATGTTGCGTAAGACTGGACGAGTTGTATTGGGATATGTAAGAGACATGCTGTTAAGCTCGACTTCGCCCTTATCTGGCCATGCTTCAGGAAGGTCGCCTCGCTTTGCTGCTTTGGATTCGTGTTCTTCGGTTTCTTCAGGTGGCAGCTCAGTGTACTCCAAAACTCTTTCCACCGACACCATGTAATTCTCCACCTCGGCACTTTGTCGTACCGCCCACTGCAGCAAACCGGTCAACTGCAAGACATAAGTCAACAGCAGCCCAACAACACCGGACTTGAGCCCCAAAGCATCACGTAATCCGACGGCACCGAAAGCGACAACTGTTAAGAACAGTGCAGAACCGACATCTAACCTAAATCCCAGCCATCGGGCGCATGAAATGAAGCAAAAGTACATTCTCGTATTATCGTTTTGAAGATCAACAAAGCGGTTGGCGAATCTCGTTTCCGCTCCAAATGCACGAACGGTGGATAAGCCCTCAAGAGTTGACGGTATGTTCGAGTACACGGGCGACCGCGTGACAGATTCGATTCGCTTAATTTGACGGGATGTGCATATGTATGCCGTTCGGAGGAAGTAAAAGCCAACGCCGATCAGAGGAACCAGGACGAGGATGTAGGGAATGACTACAACGGAGATCACAAGCGTTCCGATGATCATAAATGCACATTGGATAAAGTCAAAGAAAGTTTGCGGGAGCATTTCGTCAAGCAGATTAATGTCCTTTGAGAAACGGCTGCAATTGAGTGGGTATCAGATGAATACGTGACACGCGGAATAGGTTTTGATTTGTTGACTTACTTCATCAGTCGCCCATGCGGATTAACTTGGAAGAAGTGCATGGGACTCTTGAATACGGCCTCCAACATCTTGACAAACAATGCACGGCCGGCTACCCACGATACATAAAAGAACAGCAAAGCTCTACCGTTCGACAGTATCACAGTGACCATGACTAGTGCAAAGAATACCCAAGCGTTCATCGGCCGCTGCTTATCGCTATCGTTTTCTTGAGACCAGTGCGCTAACCACCAATTCGCGACGTCTGCCACTCCTTCTCCTACGACAAGAGAGACGGCCAAAACGATCGTCGCTGTCACGCCTGCACCGGATTTGAAATATCGATAGTACGTGGCTGCGCCAATACTGCCTTGTATCACCTGCTCTTTGGAGAGTTCTCCCGTTGAGTTTGCTGAATTTGCAGAATCGTCGGATGACATTTGGGAGGGTATATTGACCTCCTCGTCCTGGCTGAGAGGTTCATCAAGGGTGGTTGGCCCCTCGGATTCTTCCCCATCGTCAACACTCTGATCCATATCGGCGGGGCGGGCCGCAAAATCTCGTAGTGCGCCGGCAAAAGGCGATCCTGGTGTCATCATAACTTCGTCATATGGACCAATTCCAGAAATCGTCCCGTTTTCGAGCAAAAGTACGCGATCGCAGCCTCGTACGTATTGGAGCTGATGCGTCACCAGGAAGCGGGCCTAACAAAAGAGTGTGCGTCAGCAATATAGTACATCGAGACGCCGGATATCACTTCAAGCACAAACCTTATCTTTCAAGACGCCTTGAATGCACTTTTCAAACAAGTGTCTTCCGACATTTGTATCTACTGCAGACAGTGGATCGTCCATAATGTAGATATCTGCATTATAATATACGGCTCTAGCGAGAGCAAGTCGCGCGCGCTGCCCACCGCTCAACGTGACACCTCTCTCGCCAATTAGCGTGTGAATACCGTTTGCAAACTTCTGTACATCCCTCTCCATAGCGCATGCACGGATCACCGCCCAGAACCACTTTTCGTCGAAAGGTAAGCCAAAGAGAATGTTGTCTTTGATGGTCCCTGTGACGATCCAGGGAGATTGGGCCGCATAAGCGATCTTGCGGCTACCTAACGCCACTCGTCCGCTCACACGGTCCATTTCTCCTAGAATGGCGTTTGCCAGCGAGGACTTGCCGCTCCCCACAGGTCCACAAACACCGACCAACTCTCCTTTCCTAATGGTGAGGTCGATCTTACTGAGGATCTCCCGAGGGCCGCTCTTTTCGGTCTCACTTAAGGTCTGGTGAACCACTTGTTTGGACTCTAGACTCGTTACACCTTCCCCCCATGTAAATGTACCATCCCTGATGGCAATCATAATAGAAGGGTCGCCAAGGCTGTCCAGAAACTTTCTTTCTTCGACCAGTTCCCGCGTGGAGCCAATTTCCGGCAATGACAGGAATGCTTCGATACGCTGCAAAGAAATCCATGATTCTGATAGGAACTGAACCGCTTTTGGGAAAAAGTTGGTGATTGTCAAACGAGCATTGGTCAGGTAAGTCAAGCATGTGAAAATCTGCCAGGGGCAATCATAGACTTTAGTCTTAAAAATCACGATGGAAAAGTCAAATGAAGCCTACCCTTGAAGGCGTCAATACTCCACCCATGAGGAAAAATGTGATGAAGCCAAACATGGACGTAATCGAGGACGACGCAAAGTACAAAGCTTCATTGATTGCACGCAATGTTGAAGCATGCTTGATGTAGCCAAGTTCCCGGTTCCGTAGTTCGTTGATTTTTTTCATGAATGGCAGTTCCCAGGCGTACAACTACGACGCATCAAGCTCAAGTTTTGTTCTCATGTCCAAGCCAACCAGCAAATGAATAACATACCTTTACCACCATAATTCCCGCCAACATATCCGACACACTCTTTATCCTATCGTCTCGAAAGATGACCAGCTTTTTCCTCAATTTGGCAAACCGACCCGCAAACGCCGCTTGCATCGGGATGACCATCAAGAGCGCCCCGACCGCGGCGAATGCCGCCCACGAGATTTGGACATACATAAAATAAAGGACTAGCAGTAGCTCTAGAGGGCCGAGCCATGCAAAATGGGCGAACGGTGCCTAAATCGATTGTTTCATGAGTATTCATGATGACCCAGCAATTAGTCAACGTGTGGGATACGTACTGCATCCTCGAACCTCTGCACATCATTTGAGACCAAATTGACAATCAAACCAGTTGAAGAGGTATTTGATATTGAGAGCGCAAGGCATTTTCGGTATATTGCAGCGATGAAAGCCACACGCATTTGCATTCCCATACGCATGCCGAGAAAGAAGACAACGTGGTGAAGTACCGCATGGGTGATGACGCAGAATGCCATGCCCATAGCCAAAAGATAGCCCTATCACGAGCAGTGATCAGAGATTGAGAAAGCCCGGACGACTAGCAGTAGGAACATACCTCGCGGGATTCCTTGTCGGTCTTTTGAAACCACTGCAAAAGATATCCCAGCAACACACCTTCACCGATTTTAACAATGGTTTCGGCAAAGAAGGATAGGCCTGCCAACATGTATCGCCATCCAAATACTCTCCACTAAAGAATTTGTCAGACATCTGCATTGATTCCTTTATGCCAATATGGTCACATACCGTGGCTCTCCATAACTTTGCACCACTTCCCCGCTCCTTCACTTCCTTGTCCCACTCGTTCAACAGCCGACTTGATAACATTCTAGCCTCATCCTCATTCTCAATCTGTGGAAACTCTTCTGGCAAAAGCTCCCGTTTCATCCCCCTCGACACCATCGGATTCATATACATGTAAGTCCATTTTGACAGAAACGATCGATCCTGTCGACCGGGACAAGGTGGAGATGTTGGAGGTGGTGGTTTGCGGGATAGTCGTTGAAAGATGGTGGGCTTGATGTCTGCGGCGGCTTTGGCCGGCACGTCTGTCATAGTATATGGTGGAATAGTATCCTTTTCAGACGCAGCGAGCTCATGCTGCTCTGGTCCTGGAGGCAGATCGGTGGTATCCTTTCTGTCCAGTGCAACCATTCTCGTTTATGTTGCAGCGGGAATGGCAGCAGATCGCCCAAATATCACTGACAAGGAAAGCTTCCGGCTACGAGAACTAAAAGGTCCCAGGATGCTCCACCTCCCACTAGAACAACAAGTGATTTTATCTCTGTTTTTTATTGTATGCTATGTAACTCATTGGCCAATCCCTCCTACGGTGGAATCATCCTAGTCATTCAAGAATGCCAACACTTCCGTTTGCTTAACCTCCAACATTATCCAAAGCGAAAAAGCGCAGTGACTTTCTCAAAATCGCTCGCTGAGAAATCCAAAAAAAAAAAGAAAAACACACAATCCCATTATTAACATCTCCTCAAACTTCCCCACTATTCGCCCCTCCAAAAACAAAAAAGTCTCACGGTGTTGGACCGTGGGAAAATTTGGGGTTATTATCCACGGTCAGTTTCTTTGATGGGGATTTTCTCACACTTTTCGGATAAATTCTTTTTGGGTTTGTTGTAGTAATTATCACGTCATCACGCAATAGAACCCAGCAATGTGGATTCATCAAACGGCTGCGCACACGCGATCATGTTGATTACGTTGCGATCTGTATGGGCCTTTAGTTCCGGTTGTTGCTCAGAGGATGGAATATAGGCACTATCGGCCATGCTTGAAAGGCTGTCTTTAACTAGAGCAGGAAGAGATGGTATTGTGAAGGTGCCAAACAAAGCGTGATCGAGTGGAAGAGTCCACATTGTGCGACGCCTAAAACATGATGCAGTGCTTTGGTTCCTTTGTGCTTTGTTCTCTTGCCCAGACATGATAGGTCGGTATACAAAGCCCTTCCAACTCATTCACCCAATCGGATCAATTGCTATACATGCGATGAGTTTGCCTTTCCAAAAAGTTGGTCAATCTCACCAAAGATAAATGTCGTTCAAAATCGGCTTGCAGCAATACTCCAAATGCGACAGTAAAGTGTTCATAAGGCAAGGCTGTTATCAATACGAAGTAGTGGGAAGAAACACACATTTTGAGATTAAACCAAATATCGGGTTCTTCAAAGAGATTATCGAACAAAGACGTGCGACAGTCGCTCGATCACTTTGAAGCGAATTCTGGCATGACAAATAAGCAGGCCGGCGTATGTCATAGTCGGGTCTGGTACGCAACGTTGCAAGTCCAATGTCTCAGGTTCCAGGTAGTAAGTACCATCTGTATGGAGTACGGGCACAACGGGAGCGACTAGCGCAGTCTCCCATTTAATGGTTTGGCAGGAATAACAGGCGACAATGAAGGAGAAGGATGTGGCAAAGGAGGCAAGTTTTAATACCTCGTATGGAGATATGTGAGCATGGTGTATCTTTTCTTATACCCAAAAGACATCCTTGCTGTCTTCATAAATTCTTTGAGGAATGTTTGCCGAAGCAGTGGTCCGTTCAGCTATGGAAGTTTGCAGATTGTTCTTATTTAGATTTAACACAATAATGCGATTCTAATGTGTCCCATGGAGAGGTGAAAGTCATGCTAGTATCTGACAAGTTAGTGCGACACCAAATCGTGTTGGGCTGATTTTGAATGTCCTTCTATCGGCCTGTGAACTCGGGTACCTTTGATATTTTTAATCATTTAAATCATGCTCAAAATGGGTAAGGCTGCCTAGTCTTGGTCGGAACTCAAGTCTATCTGCTGCGCCTTAAATCTTAAGTAACTGCATGTTGCAACGCTTAGATGTAGGAAAGATCAAGCACTTTTGAAGGTCGATTTGCACGTTGGATTTCCGGGTACTACTTTTTGTACTTGTTGTGTTTTAATTCAATGGATTCGTCTATCAAATAGGCTGCCACCAAGCCTCATCAACTAAACTGCCATCATCAAAAACTGCGTTGCGAAACAAAAGTAAAAATGCCGATTAAACCGTGCTCTGTACATAATGACTACAATTATACACTATGTGCTATGAATTTGATAAATCTCGCGGGTGTCCGTCTGCCAAGTCGTAAAGGGGAACGCGTGTGCCAATGTCACTGTGCGGATAGGATGGTACTCGGTATGGGTGTGTCGCGGCATTATCGACGGACAATTCTTCGTGAACGACCGGTTGGTCTTGACCCAATGCACGTCTCTCTTCAACTCGTGGAGCCGTGAGCCCGTCACCGAGATCCACGCCAGGAATATTTGGGGAACTCCCGCAAGTCTCTAACAGATTTATTCTGCACATGGGACATATACTCTTCCGTTGAGTTAGCCAGGGTTCAATGCATTCGTTGTGAAAGTAGTGTTGACACGGTAAAAGTTCTCGAATAGGTTCCCCTTCTTCAAATTGGTCCAAACATATTGGACAATTGTCGATACAGTATGCCAGTGATCTTGCTGTGGATCGTAAGGATGCAGTGTCGCTGATTTCGGGAATGCTTTGATGGGTAGGTGGTTGCGGTTCTTCTTCTGAAAGGGTGATGGTCGAATCGGGGAAGGTTGAAGTGCGGAGGAAGTCGGGTGGGCAGGTCGTTGGCGTCTGAGGTGCACCACTTTCCCGCTTCATGGATTCCTTAACAGATATCTTCTCGTCGCATATTGAGAGCTGCTGTCGTTTGAATTGATGCGGACGATACCGTTTGATGGGGAAATGCTTCAAATCTGTTTCCTTCATAAGGTTGCTGCTCGACTGGTGTGAGGACATGTCGGCCACAAGCACATTCGCTTCGACATCCGCCAAGGTCAGTGCTCTGCTAGCTTCGATCCGTCTTCGAGCCCACCATGAGAGCACACACGTGCAGGGAATGCCAAAAAAGAGGATACCACCGATCAGCTGCATGCAAAGTACCAATGTCATGAGGTTTGTCGATCTACACCATGTTGGCGACTGGTCTTTCTTACCGCCAGTCCAAATTGCCAGAGTAACCCGACATCCACATTTCCTTGCGGAATGCGTGGACTTGGCGTTGCATCTGGTATCGCTTGAGTCACGGCCGCATACGCAATCGCCATTGAAGTATTCACCGCCCCCGCACCAGTGATATTCCGGCTTGCCAGCTCCAGAATCGCGGTTTTAATGCTTTGGGCCACCTTCCTTTCAATCTGAATGATGGGAAAGCGGGACTGCTCCAAGGTATCTGGATACTTGAGCTGATTATCTGATGATGCGGCATAGACGAGAACGCCAGCAGGACGTAATGTAGAGATTCCTTGTAGAGCGTCTAGTGGTTCACAATCCGCAGTCCCTAGTTCGAGAAGAGGCACCCGACGGATATTGCCAAGGCTCAACAGAGTAGTAGTGTTGAACGCACACCCATCAGCAACGTCTTGTACATGTCCCTGTCACCAGACCCACAGCTACGGATGAGCACAAATTCCACGTGCCTCCGTAGAGTTTCGCACGAGCCTGAGCGCTGAACGACCATTACTCACCACCCATGAAGCAGGGGCCGCTAGAGTGTTGAATAAGAGTGGAAACACCGGAGACTGAATTCCTGTAATGGGCTGCGCACTTATAATATCATATGTGTCCAGGTTGCCACTGGAAGCGGACGAGACGACTGCAGTAAAAAACGATGCTTCGGGCATGCCCCATGCCCTACTTGCACAGAGAGCAGTCACAAAGACAATTGCAGCTCTCATTCCTGCAGGTATGTAGGTTTTTTTGGGAACGATTGAACAAAAAAGTTGCAACACTCCACGCGCCCCCCACAAAGTTAACGATGGGCTGAGTTTGTTGGGCCAGTTTAAATTCTAATCCCTCCCCCAATAGTTAACTCGTGTGCGCTCACCACACAATCTCATTACGCAACTCATCGATCCTATCAACCGTTCTGGAAACGGGTTACTTGTCTAGTCTACTTTGTGCAGTGACTATGGCGTTTTTTTTTCGAGGGTCTCATCCCTTTTGACGTGACGTTGCATCTCCATTTTCCACCAAATGTGGCTTTTCATAGTTCCCGCTCACCAAGTGCATCTTTCATTCAAGCTGATCCTTTCATTTCAATTGATCTAGTGCTGTCTAAGCCATGGTACCCCGCAACAATCCAGGGGATCTATTCGTTGCTCGCAATCTCTAAATCCACTCCGCTTACTTTGCCGATGAATCTTGCTTTGTTCCTATACTCCTCCAAAAGCGCCTTCAACAGAAAATCATACGCAACATCGATTCTCGGTATACCTCTCAAAGCCACTTTTAGTCTCTCAAGTGTTCCTTTCCAGATAGCATCAGGTGCACACTCTCGCTAGGGCATCGTGTGTGAGAGTTTGTCCTGATGTTCTCAATATCCTGATGTACCACTCCACCACCATTAACCAGCAGTCACCCATTTATGGCACACTGCAACTGAGATGGAACCATGGGGTTAGCGTGACTGCAAAGATGTGGGCAGTGACTATGCGCCCTTAATTGAATTAATGCATTAAAACTGCGTAACTAGGTGACTGCTGGTGGAGTGGTATGGGCATTGACTTACCAGTCCTGATGGAAGAAAATACCGGACGTGAAGTTGCCATTTTATCACAACTTTGATAACAAAATGTCACGATAGCCCAGCAAATAAGACGTACTGTATCCAATGACGTACGCAATGGTCTGCTTTCCAGAAAAGTCAAACACTGCCCCAATGCATCTTTCCGCTTACTTTGCCAATGAATCTAGCTTTGTGGTTGCCGCACACGAGAAATCTTGATGGAAGAAAAGACAGGATTTGAAGCTGCCCGTTTGAACCATTTATCACATCGTTGATAAAAACAAAATGTCACGATAGCCCAGCAAATAAAATGTCCTGTATCCGATGACGTACACAGTCGTCTGCCTTTCTAGAAAAGTAAATACTGTAAAAATAGAGGTCGCGATTTCGATTGCGAACGGTGAACCTGAAATGCTTGACGTATCAAGGTTTATCATATAGTGAAAAACAATACAGCCGTAGAGAATGGTAACAAGGTCTAGTATCGTAGCTAAAAGATAATAGTATGGGTTTGCGATACCAGGTAGGTATAAAAGAACACGATATCAAAAATGCAACAAGATTCCATAGCCTCCTCACCCAACCCATCCACCCCAACCTCCCTCCTGACCAATCTCCACCAAGTATGTGGTAGGAGAAGGAGTCCCGGAAGAAGCTTTCGAAATTCTTTGACGACTTTCTAAAGTATGATTTTTTCCATACATAGGATGATTAGTGACCAATGAATCTCGATTTCATTTTTTCTATAGCTTCAGGTGTATGTATTAATAGGAGTACAATCTAATATGTTTCGTGATAGTAATGGGGCTGCAAACTCTAAATATCCTTTCTAGGGATCATAGAGATCTCCTGCTTGCACTTATCATTGGCACTTAATAGCTTAAACATCAACGTTTTGGAATTGGTTCTAAAACGGGCAACCGAGGTGGGATCGACTTTCTCAGGGGAGAAGTTAAACAAATAGCGTTCATATTAAGGGTGAACATAATGTTGCATATTGTGATACTGATAGTATTTTTACTACTGTACCTATTGATAGAAGCTTGATATCTAATTCAAGGAGGGCGTGGAGGTTTGTGATAAAGCCATAGACGTGAGTCTGGGTGGAACAGCCTCTAGTGCAGATCTTGGTGGTAGTAGCAAATATTCAAATGAGAACTTTGAAGACTGAAGTGGAGAAAGGTCCCATGTGAACAGCAGTTGGACATGGGTTAGTCGATCCTAAGAGATAGGGGAATTCCGTTTCAATGCGTGCGATTTTCGCACCGACTATCGAATGGCGGACGTAGCAGGGTGCTTGGCGCACTGGTCTCGATTCGACTCACCCAACCCATCCACCCCAACCTCCCTCCTGACCACTTCTCTCCAATCTCCACCAAGTATGTGGTAGGAGAAGGACTGGCGGACGTAGCGAATTGGTGGTTGGCGCACTGGTCTCGATTCGAAGCGGAGGGTGCAGAAAGGGCGGTTATGAGCTGCGGCAGGGCAGCTGGGAGACTCAGCAGCTCATTTGTTCGGCAGGCCAGTTCGACGCAAAAAAACCTCTTCTCCGATCGGCGATCGTCGGCTACAGGATTCGAACCTGTGCTCCCAGAAGGAAATGGCTTAGCAGGCCACCGCGTTAACCACTCCGCCAAACCGACGCATTACTTTCCACCACCTATTAGCCATCCACTTATCAAAATGTAAAGGAGGCAATTTGAGGGAAAAATAAAAAGAGTTATTTTTGGGAGATAAGCACAATGACTACTGTACATAATCAGCGGAGAGTTGGGAGTGATCGCTGGGCAATGTGCTTGGAGGACGAATGATCGCGGAAGGAATTCATAATGGTGAATGACGTTTCTACATACTTGGTAACACAGAAAATAACAGCTCCAGCAACTAAACTAAACTAAAATTTTGACATACTATATACATGATTGATCATGATACAGCAATTGAGCTCTGATTCTCAAACTACTCTTTAATAGGCGGCTTCACAGTCAATCGCTGGAACTGACTCTCTCTCCTCTGAACCCGCTTCGTGCTCGTGTTGGGACATGGATACCGAATGTTGGCAATAATGTGACGCGAGGCACCAGCCAATTCCTCCGGTAAGAGCCAATTCTTCCAAGCCCTATGATATGGACGATTCGGCTGTTTGTCCAAAAACGTTACGCCCAAAAGGTATCATAAAAGTGATGTTCACTTTGCAAATATCATAGTGTGGAGGTGATTGAAAATGGCACTAGGACCCATTATTATCCGGATTAATCCGGTTAATCATATCGCATAATCAGAACCCCCTCTATCGCTCAAAGCGGTGTGGCATGCATGCTAATGTTTTTTTTTTAAACTGCGGTGAGGCGCATGCCAAAGGTCTATAAAAGGGGGGCCTTTTCCCTCTTTCCTCTTTACCCATCCTCGACTCGCAAGCATCTGCCCAACGCTCATCGCGACCCACATTGCAACCTCATAGTGACCCACATTGCAACCTCATAGTGACCCACATTGCAACCTCATTGCGACTAGGTCAATCATGAGCATGCAGATGTGGTGGTGTCGAGGACCTCGTCCGCCCGACAGCAACAACGGCCAGAACCAGCAGCAACCAGTTGGATCTGTTGACAAACCTACTATTATGCTGCCACATTTGTTGAGCTTGGTTGGTATGTACCGATGGCATCATTTCTTATCATCTGGTCATCTTCTGACATGCAGTTCTAGTCTCCAAGCCTTCGTTACTGAACATCCTCCGGCTTGCGAGTCTCCCTGACGATATTACTCTCTTGCGACGACTCTGGCTTCAATGTCGATCAAGAGTTCCGGATCAAGGCCTAGTAGGGACCGTGTGTGGTGGTGGGCAATTATCCGGTTAGAACAAACCGTTACGTATTGCGTGTATAATTGCCTAGTAGTAGTTAGTTAGGTTTTCCGAACCGGTTGTCGCGCGGTTTATTCCCTGGTGTAGTAGCTAGTGCCATTTTCTGTCACCTCTACACTAGTGACTGTCCAACACGAGCTCTTTGTTAGTGCTTACGTAAGACGAGATCCCGATTATGTCCTGCTGCTCGTTTAGAGTTTTGGCATGTCACATCCACGTCTCTTGCTCAACTATGGCATCGGAGGTACGTCGTTGCAAGAAAAATAATCCACCAGCCGGTGTAAAACCCTGTTTTTGTTTTTTTGCTAAACGCTCAGTTGGTTATTCTGCAGCAGCAACCCATCGCACCTTGTCCGTCAACCGAGCCGTCTCCCACCCAAGACAAGATTAAAAATAACATTGGCCTTCAAATCCCTCCAATATCTCCAAGAATCCGGGCTTCGACGGTCGATTTGCCTGTATCTCCTCTCTGCCTGCCGGCTAGTAACCCGTTCTTCCATTCAGTAAACACTGAACGCAAAGCCGTGAACTCGCACCCAATGCCGCTACCTGAGACAGCAGGGAACATTTTGTTTGATAACAGCTCGAGAAAAGGTGGACACTCCAAAACCGATTTTGTAGCCGATGAAAAGGATGAGCGTGTATGTAAATGTCGCATTTTGGTGACGCAAGAGGTACCCAGAGAGTACTGACATGATTTTACAATTTGAAGGGACGATCGGATTCACTTTCTCACACTCACTGTAAGCTTTTGATTTTGTCATATTCTGCAAGGCAACACTCATTTTTGATTCTGTATGTGACATTAGCAGAATTTCATCGGAATGCCAAAATGCCCCATCTAGCAACAACTCCCAAACAAAGTGGACAGAATGATCACGTACCTGAAACACCCCAAGAGTTGGTTCAGATTCAGCGGGAGTTGGTGTTACTAGGGCAATCGTTGGATGAAGGCGTACAAAAAGTAGAATCGGAGAATCCCGCCGCCGAGAAAGTCGTTGTCAGTGATGATATGCGTGCGGGTAACGGGCTGGTGGAAGCGGATGACCATGCTATTTCCGATAAGACGCTACGTTTGGTAATCGGAGAGCAAGGTACTATGCATGGGGTAGCTTCTCCTCCCAAAGGTATCCCACCGTCATCCTCAGCATCAACCCCTCGCGACCATCAAGCATCTTTCTCCGATTATCCCGGCACTGCCACGTCCAAATCCTCACATCCTGATGTGTTGACTGAGTATGCCGTGGACTCTCCGACGTACAACAAGTCGATAGGTATAAGAGTTGACGTTTTCGCCCAAACTACGTACTCATCCCTATGTCTGCCACAAAACAGATGAGAGCCCTGGCACTAGTTCTGCGAAACCCTTGTCAAATGTCTCTGCAATTGCCCGAGCATTTGAGGCACGGGCCGCTCGGGACACCCACAAGTCAAGCGGAAAGTCCATCCCTTCTCCAAATGTGCATCATAGACCTCACGCAGTCACCAGCCCACACAAGCAAGAGAGTGATAGCAATGGATCTCCTGAAACAACTCAACCTGCGCTTCCACAACAGAATACCCATTCTGCAATGCTCACATCCCAAAGAGACAAAGGAGAGCCCTTGGATGAGGTGGTCAGGACTATTGACCAACACGAGGATGCACCTCTTGCTTCCGCTACGAGTCCGTCAGGTACCGATGTCAGCATGGATGAACCGTCTACTCCACGTGAAGTCGATAGCAAACGACAGTCTGCAACGAGCACTATCCCTCTCGCAGGGTCCAGTATAGCATCACCCACTTCCCCAGCAAGTGTAACGATCATAAATGTTTTACCATTTGCCCGGCGTTCATCAATCGTCAGAGTCCCCTGCGATCCTGCGAGTAAAGACATTTGTGAGGCAAAAGAACCACCAGATCAAGGTGCGAGGGTAAATGACAGTAAAGCGAATGAGGGCCGGACGGAAACCCAAGACCTCCTACCCAACCTTCCCGTACGGTCCAATGCCGCTCACAATGGGAGACCGCCGCGATTGCCGGATTTTCGCTTCTCAAATATACCACTTAGTACGAAACTCAATCTTTCTCTTTCACCTCGTGCCTCTGTTATTGAGGCCGTGCCGGATATATCTGAAGACCCTCCGGTATCCGAAACATTGCCCACATCCGCAGCTCGTGTTCTTGAGTGTGCCTGTCTTGCGATATCGTCCACTCATGAAGGGGCTGACCACGAGGGTATGGAAAAAGGATCCCATCCGCTAGCAAAGTCTATCTCTCTTGGAAGTGTCGGATCAGCTGCAAGTGGTAATGAAGATGACATATATGATGTAAGCAGTTCAATGGGGGCTCGCTGAGGGAGTGTCGCCTCTGTTCTGATTGAACGACATTGTAGCTCAAAATTTCCACGCGGTTTCATGATACCGAATGTACCTTCAGTCTTCAAAAGAATCGACTCGTTTGTACGGATGCGAAAGGTACCCAATACTGAGTCCTTCTCCAGTACCATGGCCCATCTTCTGACTTTACCTGTAGGCAAACGAGTGTCAAGGCACTTTCCATTACATCTTTCACGTGTCCTCATATCTGCCTTTCAAGGGAAGAATATCGTTATTCTGGCTGCTCCTCACAGAAAGTACAAATCGGGACCAAAATTGCGACAAATCCCTTTGCAATGCGCGGACGAAATTGCTTCAGAGGAATGGGTGCGAAGATTCAACTGGGTTGTTTGCAATGGTAGGGATCCGTACTGCTTCTTGCCTTGGATGAGAAAAGGACGATGATGACTAAAAACGAGCACTAGGCAATTTTGATCAAATTGTGAATTACAAGGCCGTGCTGATCATTGATGAAACAGACGAAAAGCATTTAAGAGCCATGATTGACAAGTATGTCGCACCCATCTTGCAGTGCGTCGGAAAGGAGTTCGAAACAATAGGTATTATACTGACATCGCAGGCGAACACAGATGTAGTTACTAACTTGCGTGAATAGCAATAAGCCCGCACCCGGATCATCTCCCTAAAGTCGATTTTCAAGTTACAAACTTTGCAGCATACTTGACCCGTAAGGATGCACCGTCACGAGACTTTGAAGGCACCTTGTTGAAAAATGCTCTAGCAGTCCGAAGTAAGCGGCATGGATAGTTCATTACAGGTTTTAACATCTGAAAGCTAATTCCTTTGTGATTAGGTACCATGGATGAAGTGAACCTTCTCACACGCCAGGAGGCTATTGATCCAGTTGACTTTGCTTTGATGATCATTAAAGGTAGGATGGTCTCCCCCCGGTTTATTGCCTATTTTCATCCCTTAATGCTGCTTTGCAATCTTTTCAGAGCCATTACCAACAGGTCAATCATGTATTGCTGGGTTTCAGCTTAAGCGTGCCCACACGACTGTTGGAGGGTTTGTGAAAATGATGAGAAAAATTTAGTATGATTTTTTGGTTTTGGGTACATATTAGGAGATTGTTACTGAGCTGCTACATCGGGAAACGATAGAGTCAATAATATTGAATGACCCATCAACGTTGATCTTTTTATAATCACTAGATATAAAGTTCATATATATGTATTTTTTCGCAATATCAACGCATGCTGGCTTACAGATTGTTCGCATCGAATGTTAGCGGTCTTGAGCTGATACGCAACTGATGCATAGAATACGTCCCAAGATAAGGACATGTTAATGCCTATATCTCACATTACTAGAATGATGCACATGCAGTTGACTGCGCGATCCACGGATTAGTCATCGCGTGCACAGCCATACTCGATCGGCGATCTGAGTGCTCGTCCATCGTTTAAACGAGAGGTGGGCGTAAGATGGGAGGTGGGGCTGGGTGGAGTAAAAGAATGAGTTACTGGGGGCACGATTCAGGTCCTATTTCCAATCCAATCCCAATTTTGTTATGTGTATAAATCATTCTTTGTAGTGTTCTTTTTGGGGGGCAACCAAAATCAAACCTTTGGGCAGGTGCAACGTATGATTTATAACTTTGCAAAAAACGCATCTCTCTTTCCAAAGTCACACTTGTTCATTTCGCATCGACTTGTAATTCATCGACACATGCCTACTCAAACCACCACCTACAAAGGTCGGCTCGGTTACGCCTGTCTGAACACAATCTTGCGGGCTCAGACCCCATCCATCTTTTGCTCCCGAACGTGTCGCCTCGAGACTATTCGACAAAAGGGAATCGAGTATGCTTACGAACTGGGTCTTCAAAACGCTCGGGATATTGTTCCCATGTTGAGATGGAACGAGCAGCACGGGATAAGGTTCATGAGATTGAGCTCTGAGATGTTTCCTTTTGCGAGTCATGATGTCGTGGGGTATTCGGTGAGGGATGTGCCGGGCGCTGTAGAGGCTTTGAAAGAGGCGGGAGATGAGGCGAGACGATTGGGACATCGGTTGACAATGCATCCGGGACAATTTTGTCAAATGTAGGTTGTAAAGCGTCAGCAGTCAAACATGTCATGAATGCAAAGTAGACAATTTCTTTGTTGATTTCCAGTGCAAGCCCGCGATCGGTGGTTGTCCGAAATGCCATCCGTGAGCTCCAATACCATAGCGAAATTCTCGACATAATAGGACTGGGCCCAGATTCGGTAATGATCATTCACATGGGGGGCGTGTTCGGGGACAAAGCTGGCACCATCGCGCGATTTCATGAAAACTGGAAGCAAATACCTAAACACATCCAAGACCGCATCGTCCTCGAAAACGACGAAATATGTTATTCTGTACAAGATCTTCTGCCGACTTGTGAACAACTCGGCATTCCGCTGGTTCTAGACTGGCACCACGACGACATCTTGCGATCGGAAAAGTCTGCAGTGGAGTATCTCCCTCGTATCAATGCCATATGGGAGTCTCGGGGCATCAAACCCAAGCAACATTATTCAGAGTCCCGCAAAGGTGCGGAAACACCTATGCAACGACGAGCACACAGCGATCGCGTACAACGACTGCCACCTTGTCAGGACGATGTTGATTTGATGATTGAGGCAAAAGACAAGGAACAAGCCGTGTTGCATTTGTTCAAAACTTTTGGGTTGCACCCCGTTCCGGATGGGTTACCGGTTTCAGAAGCAGAACAAATCGAGCTGTATAAGCAAGCTAAAAAACCGAGAAAAACAGTCACCAAAGTTGTCCTTGAGGCTGAGACGGTCGAAGGTGGATCAAAGGCCCGCGCAAAAAGAAAACGAAAAGTCAAAGTCCAAGAAACCATTGAGGATGAGGAGGATCTGAAATCTGATGAATGCGAGGCCGCCCAGGTCGATCCCCCTCCCAAGCGAAAATCCCGAAAGACAGTCAAGAAAGTTGCGATAGTGGATGAGAGTATTGTACAGGACACCGAAAAGGTTACTTTGAAAAAACGACGGAAACCTGTGGATGACCCGTTGCCTGCCACGAGTACTACGGCACCACTTGCAAAAAGCCGAATGACCCGCAACAGTCTGAAGGCCTCAATGTTGGAGATTATCACACCGACTACCCTTGTGGAACCGGTAATTGCAACCCTGCCTGCGGAAATTGGCGAGGAGGGGGTGCAAAAGGTTGGCAGACGTCGAAAGGCTACATAGTTTAAACGATGGTTCTAGTGGACCAAGAGATACGCTTGAGAATTGCGGTATAAAATGAAAGGAAATTGGCTCGAGGAAATCGGGACAATAGGCTATTGTTGTGCTTTTGGACTAGGCATCCATGTTCATAGGGAAGAGCGCCAAGTCTCAGACATAGGGTGGTATCAGCTTTAGCGTAGTAGCTAGTGTTTCGATGACGGTTAATTACCGCGCGCCCGGTGCCCAGTACTTTTACATGTCTCTGCTACGACGCAACCAGTATTAGTTTTCTACATGATTCGAAATGCGCCCATCAGGAGCTTCATTGTTCTGTCTTGCTGAGTTCATTTTGTTCCAACTGTCCTCGGGGTTGGATTATTTCACAACCAATCTGGAGCATCCGCATGACGAGCATCTAATACTCCAAGGCTTTTGTAAACGGCTTCGTACGGTGGATCTGCTCATCGTGTTCCACGATCGCTTTCGTCATATTCTTGAAAGTGGTCTACGTTATAGCAGAACATGGAGGATTGCAACCAAAAGCTTATAAGGAGTCAGAGTAATCATCTCATTAAACAATTTTAAGAAATAGGGCCTCACTATTTAAAGAGGGCTAGAGGTCTAGACACAGATTGGACATCTCTATTACTGTACACGTAGAGTACCCGCCCCTACTTGTCCCAAACGTCCTGAATACATACTATATTGTGAGATGCATACGATATACTCAGTACTGTCTTGACCCGGCATTGTGCGAGGAATTGGTTCCATATGGTGTACCGTATGGCGAATTTTGAGTGCTTTTCCACGTATCAGTGGGATAATTCCGTCCGTCAGTGTATGCAGGAGCAACGTTGTCGGATTTGTATGGACCCATGTAGCGGCCGCTGCTTGAGGAGGACGACCCCGTGGGGTTGTTTCCGTTGCGTACTCGGTTGATGGCGGATAGCTCGCTAGATTCGGTATGCTGGGATGTGTTGGCGGAGAAGACGCCTTTGCCACGCATAGCGTTGGAGACGGTTTCAAAGATGTTTTCAATGAAGAGGACGATGGAGATGTGTAGGCAGGCTACAGAATTATTGTACGATGAGGCTAACAAAATGAAAAAAGTTCCAAATGAGCTTGCGTTCAACTTGAAAGATCATGAGCGCGTGTCATTACTTACTTCTCAAGGGGAAGAAGCATCCCAATTCGCTCACACACAGAGCGATCACTAGCGCCATCATCACATCATTGACAATTCGTAGGGTGCGGAGGACTTCAATTCGGCCATTTCCACCAGGGAGAGTCAGAGCGTGTCGAGGAAGGTTCCAGGAGAAGCAGAACAGACCACCGAGAATGTAAATGACCAACGGAACGAAGCAGAGTCCCGTGAATAGTGGTGTAAACGTCGTGGGATAAGACGGAGCCTCGATAATTTCCTTTCCGGCCCTGTAGCCCAGTAATCCAGCGTAGAGCAGCACAAATGTGCAAAGACCTCTCTGGAAAAGCTTTCGGCGTTTGGTCCGTGTGATGACTTGGCCAAACCGAGTGATTCCTGCCATGGCCAAAAAGGTCTATGCACGGTTGCCGAGATAAGTATCAACTACCAAACAGTGAAATAAACTTTTGGTCACATACCAAAAGAATAATGAATCCACTCAATCCAACGACATCCGACACGAGATAGTTTGCATCTAGACCCTTAAAAGCATAGACGATGGCGGAGGCAAAGGCCATGTTTCCCAGAGTTGCGATAAACAGGAACAAACTCCTCGCATTTACAATTCGGAACAGGCGCATTATAGCAATGATGAGCCCAACAAAGATCCACGGCAGACTGGCACCGATAACGACGCCGGGCCCACCGAATGAGGTAGCGGCCTGCTGGGCAACACCGGCAGCAAATCCGGATATCTGCGTTCGACAGAAATCGATCGCTTCATTATCCGTTGCATTGAGACCCACAGTAAATGAAATGGCTTTGAAGCCCACTACACAGGCCGTAGAAAGGTTGGCAGAAGGGAGAAGTGTTCCTGACATTTCAGACGTTTCCCTATCGCTTTCTGAAAGAACACGATGATCGACTGTGCAACAAAGTGCTGTGCTAATGTGTGGACAACAAACGAGGGGATGTAGTAAGCTTTGGCACAAGAGCGGGGCAACGGTGCCAGCTGTCAAATAAATTGGAAGAGAAGCTGGGAGACTGTTGGGAAACGCTCAACTTCCTTCACGACTGGAAGAAGGGAAAACGACGGCCGTGGAGGGGAGGCGTCGGGGTGAGCTGACCACTAGGAACAGAAATATGGCCAAATGGAAGAAGAAACTCTACTTCAAAGAGTCTGTTTCTAAATGCATCACGCCCGTCCTTTTCTCAAGTCAAGAAAGACAGAGACCATCTAAAGTTTCCACTTTTCCTTTCTCCCCTTGTTGCCGCCCGCAAGAGAGAGTGTGCCAGTGTGCAAGTGTGAAGGTGTGACAGTTTTCATTGCAATTGGCAAGATGGAAAGCAAGATGAAACGCGGCTTTCTTTTTTTGCAACCAGTGTGATATAAAAGTGTTTTGTTTCCCAATTCACACAATTATTCTTTTTTTTTTTTTGTTTGGATGCATTGGGAGGTTTGGAATTGAGGACAGTGGCTCATTCTAACCGAACGATGGGGTTATGCGAGGATTGGGGATATGGTCACGTTCTCAAAATAGCATCAGTCTGTCACGCCAATCAAGCAAATGTTTTTGGGTTCGTTGGGTGCTATTTATATAAGTTTTTTTTAAAGTTTTGTGTGCTTGCTGTGCTGTAGGGATGATCATGGCTTTTGGGACGATTTGCAGAGCTTGCAAGTGGATTTAAAAAGGATGGACCACAAAGAGATTTTGACTTTTGTTCTAGTGCCGGATAACAGCATTGCAGATGTAGAAAACTGACGGGATGTCGTGGATGAGGCAACTCGTCGTCGTCGTCGAGTCCCAACCTCGAACCAACAAACTCCCCAACTGTAGTGGGCTTACACAACTGTGCCACCCTATCTTGGCTGTGGACAGAGCTCAACAAGGATCGTTTTAGCGCAACTGAACACTGTGTGTAAAGAGCATCTTTTGATTGTCATTTGGGGAATCATCCTCGGATAAATACTATATATATACAGAATACAGACGACAGTGCAATAGATTAGCTCTACCCAGGAACACAACTTGGGTCCTGCCAATTTTCAGCGTTTTCCGACTACCCAAGGATGTTCTAATATTTCCTTGAATCCAGCTCTGTACCTCTGGTCTTTGACCAACATCCTCCCGATGAGCTCTTGGCAAGCGTCTGAGCATTTAGGTAGCTGATAACCGCCAAAGGCGGTTTGATGCGGTGTCGCAAATGGCCCAGAACCCCTGTTGACCATTCCGTACAAAAGCACGCCTAGGCTCCATGCTTCTGCCTTTTCAGGGTCGTATCCTTTGCCAAGTACGATCTCTGGTGGGGCAAATTCGAGCGTGCCGTGAAAGTCGGATTCCGTGCATCTTGTATTTGTGTCAACGTTTTGCAACGCGCCGCCAAAGTCGATGAGCTTTGCAATGGGCAGGGTGCCTGACCAGTCGATGAGTATGTTTTCGTCTTTAATGTCCCCGTGGATAAGATGGTAATTTGTGAAAAGGGCGTCGACAGCTGTAATGATTTGAAGAAAGATGGTGTGGGCGTCGTCTTCCGTCAGTGGCTTCACTTCGAGAAGCTCAAAGAGATCCATTGCACGTCGTCTGACTGGTCGGATAGCGGAGGGGAAAGGGTTGTGTTCGGTGGGTCGAATTGCTGAACATCGCCATGATGATCCAAAAAGTTCCATAACGATGAGAACTGCTCGGTCATCTTGGAAGAAATCGATAAAGCAAATGACGGAAGCATGGTCAATGGTTCGTAGAACATGGACCTATGTCACGGTGACTGTCAGCAATTTTCTCCCACAGCTTGCGGGCAGGACGCCATGAACACATACCTCTTTCGGTACAAGTCCCAGCACGTCGTCGTGCACCCATTGATTGTCTGGGATGCAAGCTTTTGGAATCAACTTGACGGCGACTTCCTTCCTGTCTCGCCGACGTACAGCCGAGAAGATGTGTCCGGAACCACCACAGCACAAGATCGTCTAGACCTGTGCTGTACTCTTGGCGGAACTGTGGGGGAAGAA